AAAGCAAAGAGTCATGTTCTTCCCCACCCCTCTTCATCACATCGTTCCCCTCATCCCCTCTTTCTTGTATTCAGTGATGTCTGGGGTCCAGCCCCTGTCTTATCTTTAAAAGGTTTTCGGTATTATGTTTCTTTTGTAGATGATTTCACACGGTTTACTTGGTTGTATCCCATCAAAGCAAAATCTGATGTTACTAAGGTATTTTTAAATTTTCAAAAGCACGTTGAGAATCTGTTCAATACTAAAATCAAATTCTTACAAATAGATGGGGGTGGAGAATTTCAAGCTCTTCACTCTGTTCTTCAATCCTCTGGCATAATTCATCGAATTACTTGTCCTTATTCTCATGCTCAAAATGGATCAGTTGAACGCAAACACAGACATATTGTTGAATCTGGTCTTGCTCTTTTAAATCATGCTTCTCTGCCTCCCAAATTCTGGGCTCATGCCTTCTCCTCTGCTGTCTACCTTATAAATCATTTACCATCTGCTTCTCTTAAGCACCGGTCCCCTTATCAACTCTTGTTTAATCACTATCCCGATTATTCCTTTTTAAAAGTCTTCGGTTGTGCTTGCTGGCCTCATCTCCGTGCATACACTCGTAATAAGCTGGAACCAAGGTCTCAACTCTGCATTTTCATTGGGTATGCCACTGCTCATCATGGGTACCTATGTTTTGAGCCCAAATCTGGCAAGGTCTTCATTTCACGAGATGTAATTTTTCAAGAAACTGATTTTCCAGGTGTCCAGTTCTTTCCTTCCAATTCGGCCCAGCCCAACTCCTCAACTCCGACCTTCACCTCTTTGCCTAATCTGAGGCCCAACCCAATTAATCCTTCGCCTTCTGATTCTCCAAGAGCCCAACCCATTCCTCCTTCAACTCAACCCGACAATCCGGTCCCTCCACCTGATAACTCCTCTGCAATATCTGATCCAGAGCATCTATCTCTTCCTCTCACAACGTCAACTTCTTTGTCCTCACCGTCTTTTTCGTCAGACTCTTCACCTGTGCCAGTGTCCTCCTCTCCCTCTACCCGTATTATCACCAGGTCCCAGACTCACTCTCTCAAGCCGAAGCGGTACATTGATGGAACCATTCCCTGGCCACCTCCCAGAGCTCTTGCATTGATGATTAGTGCGCCTCCCGATGCACCCACCTTTGTCGCTGAAGCTCTCTGCCATCCTGAGTGGCGTGCGGCCATGGCCGAAGAGCTTTGTGCTCTTCTTTCTAATCAGACATGGGTCTTGGTCCCTCCATCTGTATCCCAAAATGTTGTCGGTTGCAAATGGGTGCTCCAAAAAAAAATTCAAATATGATGGATCATTAGACAAGTATAAAGCTCGTCTGGTTGCAAAGGGATTTCATCAAGCTTCAGGTATTGATTTTCATGAAACCTTTTCTCCTGTGGTTAAGCCTGCTTCCATCCGTCTTCTTCTTTCACTTGCTATTACTTTTGGATGGTGCATTCAACAAATTGATATTCAAAATGCCTTTTTACATGGGACCTTGGAAGAAGATGTTTTTATGACTCAACCTCCTGGTTTTCGAAATGCCCAATTCCCTGATTATGTCTGTAAGCTTCAGTGTTCTATTTATGGCCTTAAGCAGGCACCCCGAGCCTGGTTCTCTAAACTCAGCACATGTCTGATGAAATTGGGTTTTAATTCTTCTAAGGCAGACACCTCTTTATTCATCAAACGCACTTCGACCTCTATGTTCTACATTCTGGTCTATGTTGATGATATCTTAGTTATCGGTTCTGACTCAGTTGCCGTCCAAGATCTCATTCATACTCTCAATTCATATTTTCCAGTTAAAGACTTGGGACAATTGAGTTATTTTCTGGGTGTTGAATGTCACTTCTCCTCTGAAGGGTTATTTCTGTCTCAATGCAAGTATATCTCTGATCTATTACTTAAATCTGGTATGACCAATTGTAGTCCTGAAAATACCCCGATGTCTCCCAAAACGAAATTATCTGCCTACTTTGGTTCTCCCCTTGACAATCCTGAACTTTTTTGAAGTATAGTCGGCAGCTTACAATATTTGTCCCTCACAAGGCCTGATGTCTCTTATGCTGTCAATAAAGTTTGTCAATTTCTTCACAATCCCCTGGATACTCATTGGTCGGCTGTAAAGAGAATTTTGCGCTATCTGTCAAAAACTATTGATTATGGGCTACTTATTCAAAAGACCTCTCTTACTTCTCTGGTTGCCTATACTGAAATTGAAGCTCCTGAACAATTACTAGCTTATTCTAATGCTGACTGGAGGGGAATATTGATGATAGAAGATCAACAGGTGGTTATTGTGTATTTTTTGGTCCTAATTTGCTTTCGTGGAGCTCTAGAAAGCAACCAACTGTGGCAAGATCTGCCACTGAAGCTGAATATAGAGCTCTTGCACTTGCCACTTGTGACTTAATTTGGTTGCAGAATTTGTTGAAAGAACTTGGTGTTGTTCTTCCTAGTCCTCCCATTCTCTGTTGTGATAACATAGGGGCGACTTATTTGGCTGCCAATCCTGTTATGCATGCTAGATCCAAACATATTGAATTAGACTATCACTTTGTTCGTGAGAGAGTTGCTGCTAAGAATTTAAAAATTTCAATTGTCTCTTCCAAAGATCAGGTTGCTGATATATTTACCAAACCTCTTGATGCACCAAGGTTTCAATTTCTTCGGGCAAGTCTCACTGTGACACAGCTGCCGTTCGACTTGAGGGGGGCTGTTAGAACAAAGCCCAAGTCTGAAAATAATGTGTCTAAGGCCCATTTAGTCTAGCCCACTGTGATTGTATAGTTGTTCTAGATTTTCCTGTTTAGGGCTACGTGTCCCATCTTTCTTGTATTACCAGAGTCTATATATTCAGCACTGTACAAATCATATTCAGGGCAATACAATACTTTTCTTCTTAGCTTAAGGTCTCTATACTGCTTTAGTTTGATACTTGTTATTGTCAGTTCATAAGTTGTTAATAACTTCTTTAATACAAAGGCATTTTGTTATTTAATAGGATTTGCAAAATAACAGATCAGTCATCACTTCCTCCCTTGAGATTTTGACCTCTTAAGTACTTTAATCGAAATATTGTAATTTTTAACTTCTTTTTATGTCATTTTTATCAATTAGAATTTAGAAATATTGTCAAATTAGTTTTACGCTTTTGAAGTTTTTCTTTTGAAAAGAAAACCATCTCAGCTAATCACTATCATTGGTGGGCCTGTTAAAGTTTCGGGGCTGCCAACGGCTGGAATATTTTGTGACAAAATTGATAAATGTGAAATTTGATACCATTACCTTTTGGATCTTAAGAAGAAAAGCGAGTGAATTGGTTGGTAATAAAAATTTAAATTAAATACTCAAATGACTAAAGAAGTAAATTAAGTTGGAATCACCAAACAAAAACAGTATCAAAGTAAAGAAGAAGTGCAGAGAAAATTTACATTTCTTCAGTACTACCTGTTGGAAGTTTGACTATATTCCTCAAGATTGCTTTGGACTCCCGGCACCTTAATGCCTCAGCTATTGTTTCATTGCAATAAACACTGCCCCTCACTTGAGAATAACAAAACCTACAAGATTTACACATCAGACATACAAGTCTAATGTGTAGAAGCCTTTTAAGGAAGATATGGTTGTGACTCAATTGAATCAATAATACTTCATTTAATTCTAATTATAAGAGCTAATTAGAGATTCAGTTTGATTATAAATATAATACTACTCTAGCTCTTAATGTAAGATCTTGTTAACTAATTTGAGAAGATTAAAAATATCAGTTAAATAAGTTAATATGATATATTTCTTTTAAAGCACCCTAAACTTCTTCCTTAATTCCTTTCCTACCTCTCCTATTTGATTATTATTAAGAAAATATCAATAAGGTTAACTTAGAAAAAAATTGGTAAACATGCGAAATAAATCTTTTATATATAGGGCTAACATCAACTCTCAAATTAGGTTTTGTATGAAGAATCAGAGGAGTATCTCAATCCATTTTGTCTCTTATATTTATTTATTTCTTTTCAAATTAGTCCCCATGATGTTACATATCTTAAAGGATTTTCATTTTAATAATACACATGATTAATATGAATATTTTGGAGAAGATATTATCTATTTATTACAAATAACTAATTTAATTAATTTTTTCATATGTACAACTTAGCAATCTAGTTCTTATTCTAGATGTAGTAGTATAATAAAATATGTTTGGCTGAAGGACTAACATATCGCTGACAAGACATTTAAGAGCTCAATCGCTAATTAAAACACAATGCTAAGGCTTCATGCATTATATATGGATAGGGAATTAAAATTCTAGAGGGCAGAAATGAATATTTTATAGATTCTTTTTCCGCACAAAGTACCTGACTTTCAGATTTTCAAAACATTTTAAGACGATCATGCATTTCCAAAAACAAAGCTCTCAACTTTACAAGAGACCCTAAGAAAAATATAAAATCACTTAATATTTAATTATAAGGTCCTTGCAGTCTACATGCTTCTTCTTCTTCTTCTTAATTAATTATGCAAAACAAACCTAAACCCACAATTTTGTTATCATCAAAACAAGTGATCCAACAAAGATCACGCGTGCTCGTGAAGGCGATCATCGTAAATATTACGTCATTTAGCCAACTTTAACTCCTCTTCTTTCTTTTCTTAATGGCCTCATATCAAATATCCAATGTAAAAGAATGATTTTCCTTTTATTTAGCCCAAAAGTAAAGGACAAATAAAAGCTATATATATGCGCAAAAATGCAAAACAAATTGATAGGTATGACCACGTCGTTCCAAAAATACACTCTGGTGTTTGCTCAAACCAAAACATTTTCTTCTTCTGCCAAAGTTTTCTGCAACATCCTCTCCCTAGCCCTTCTGGCCTGCAAAATTCAAACTCTCCCACAATGAGAACAACTCAAAATACAAGCACTATTCATAAATGTCGAAAACTTGTTGCAAAACCTGATCAAAAGTGAAGATGGTCATCAATTATTGGAGAGGTATTTTAAAAAGTAGTGAAGAACAAACCTCTTTCATCCAATCTGTACAACTTAATATGATCATTAGCACAATCACTTGGCAGATTGTACCAGTCGTTATTCCAAGCCAAAGGCCTTTTGCTCTCATGTCTAACCAGAAACCCAAGATTGCAGCTAGTGGAATGCCAATAACATAATAAGCTCCGAAATTCACATATGCCCCTATATGCTGCCACCCACTTCCCCTGGCAATCCCTATTTTCGACGAGAATTAGATTTATGTGAAGTTTGAATGCAATAAGAACGTACGTACTTGTGTTTTGAACGGTATTGGAATGAAAGATTTTACCTGTAAGGGTGCCTTGTAAGGAGTCCATAAAAGAAGACAAAACTAAAAGAGGAGCAATGTCTGTGACATAGTGGATCACATCTGCCTCATTGCTAAAAACATGACCTAAAACATTCCGACTTGCAAAAATGATTGAGCTCACTATAAGAGCCTCACAGGTTGCCAGAATCCTCGAACACAAGGCAGACAATCTTGCCACCTGTGGACTTCCCGCTCCTAATGCATTTGAAACTCTCGCACTGAATAATACCAATCACAAAAAGTCAGCAATATAATGAGAGAGACTTTATGTCAGGCACAGAGAGAGAGAGAGAGACTTTATGAAGAGAAAGTCTAATAAGCATTGATGAATGTTATGTGATACGAACCTTGCTGCTGAACCAATTGATTCTGGTATCGAATAGATTGTAACATTCATTGAAACACTGTTCACCAAATACAAAATGAGTATAAGGAATTCATAGTATTGTATCATTATTTTAATACTTCTGACAGATTTAGGAGACTGAAAAATTTAGAAAAAGCATATACCACACGGCTAAAATTGAAGTTTCAAGCTCTGGGTTTGGACGTAAAAGACCAGCGAGCAGTGTAGTCACCTCATATGACCACCATTGGAGGCTGAAATAATCAATCATCAAGTATCTATATCAATAACATTATCTAAGGCATAATATAAAATACAGAGAAAGACATATTATTAAGTGGGGAAGATGAATACCAAGCCATTATAGCCGAGGGAATAGCAAAGCGAAAGAACTCTCCAAGGCCTTGGAAAAGCTCCATGGAAATTGGAACCCGAGTCTTTGCACAAGAATCAGAGAATTTCATATACAAAGCAAGTAAGATCACATTCAACCAGTATGAAATACCAATGGCAAAAGCTCCTCCAAAGCGACCCATTCCTGATTTAAAAACTAATGCCCAACAGCAAGCTACGTGGAAGCATATGATAAATGAAGAAGAGAGAACAAGAGGAGAGATCAAGCTCTGCATAAGATAGTATCGAACTAGTGCTTGAAGTATTGCATACCCAAAGAGGGCAGGAATCAAACAAACTGCAAATTCGCCTGCTTCATTTGCAATTAAAGGGTCTTGACCAAGTAAAACCAGTAGCTTCCCCAAGTTAAGCCATAAGACACAGAGAGGAAGACAACATAGAATAAGACAGAAGATGCCAGTTTGAATTTGAACACCAAACTTCTTATATTGCTTTGCTCCGTAGGCTTGACCACATAACGTTTCAAGTGCAGAAGCCAATCCAAACTAGGAATCACACAATACAAAATGCAATTTTTAGCTATCTATCAAGCAAAATTATAAAACCCCACAATACAAAATGCAATTTTGTATTTGTAAAACAGCAAGTGGGAGACTTACTATGACACTAAAGCCAGTGACAGCACAAAGTGAAATGGCAACACCAGTGCTAGATTGAGCAAGTTTTCCCAAGTGACCCACCATCATCAAAGCGATGGTTTGCAGAAAGAAGGTTGAAGAATTCACAGCCACCATAGGGCCTGCCACAGAGCAAACTGCTTTCACTTCTTTTGAAAACACACGCCATGTTATAGGTAGATGATCCTCTTCGTGCTCCAAGTCTGTGTTTTTCTCTAAGAGACTTCTTTCCATTCTCCTTCCTCTATCTCACTCGAAGGCACTATTTTGCGAACCTTAAACAGCAAGAGAGATATCAATTAAGGCTTTTAATTTGTGAAATATATAATCACTACTCTTAAATGACATAAATAAATATAAAACAACTTTAATTTTCCGGGAAGAGACGGATCTAGCTATGGGATAAACCTGGGCATGGGAATTATTTTCAGAGAAGTAGACACATATGTGTGCATGCATGCATTTGTGCGTCTTTAACTTTCTATTTTTAATGTTTATTTTAATAATTTTAATGTCTATTTTATCTTAGACACAAATTCGATCCCATCCTAGACACAAATACTGACACATATTTTTCCTGTTTATGTCATAATATGTTACAAATAACTTATATTAAAGACCATAGTGACACACCTTATACCCTTATTTGTGTCTTATGTTAAAGATAATAAGAAAATTATTAAAATAAAGAGAATGATGTTTCAAAAACTTAAATAAAATAAAATTAAAAAATAAACATTGAATATACTACAAATGAGTTGCATTTATGATGAAAGCTTCTCTTTACAAGTAATTTACATTTAACACGAATATTAACCAAGTATTTACATTGATTCATAAGATTATTAGCAAAAAGAAGGTCAAAATCAAGTATTTATATTTAATTTTAACTTTAATTTAATTATTGTTCATAGGCATATATGTAGATACACTTATACTCCCCATAAAAATCAAACACCTATCATTAGTTACAGTGTAAAAGGCAGTGAGGGAAAAAACAGCTTGACCCGTACGCTCACCTAGTCACCTGGCACTTGCTCATATAATTGTTTGAATATGTGAGAGAGAGAGAGAGAAGAAAAAGCTATACTGTGCAATTTTCCCCCCATCCCATCTCTTTTTTGGAATTGGATTCTCTCCACTACCCTTTCTATCCTCTTCCCCTCCACCACCCTCATTTTCTCTTCACAACCATTAGATCAAAACTCTAATGGTTCAGATTTAATATTTTATAACATTTTATAAAAATAAATATTATGATAAAAAATAGATAAATAAATTTAAACTGTTAAAATCTAATCTGAACAGTTCATAACTATAGACTGTTATTATATAACAATTTTTTTTAATTTTTTTATTACAATTGTAAACTCTTCAGACCAGATTTTAACAGTTTAAATTTATTTATTTATTTTTTTAATAATATTATTTTTATAAGATGTTAAATCTGGACCATTAGAATTTTGATCCAATGGTTGTGAAGAGAAAAGAAGGGTAATGGAGGGGAAGAAGATGGGAAGGTAGTAGAGAGAATCCAAGTCCTTCCTTCTCTTACTCAACTGACCATCTTGTCATATGGAGAGACCGCCGTGCAGCAAAACTCGTTCAAGCTCAGAACGAGTTTGATTTTTTTATTAAAATAATGTGTCAGATTTGTAAACTTATACTCGTTCTTACGAATAATGATTTTTAATGTAGTATCCTTATAAATATTTTTCATCAAATAGTATTTATTTTTTTTTTACTGTTTTTATATAAAGTATTTTAGTAAAAATGCCGATGATTGGCGTTGTGTTGTGGGTGGGAGGACCTAACCTAGTTTACCTATTATTAGTCAATAGTCAGTACTCATTCAAATGGGTGGGTCCCACTTATTAAACGGAGAATGAATTAAGCTTACTCTTATTTATTTTTGGCCTTCATACGGCAGCTGGTCTATGACTATGAAGTTAAAAAAAAAAAATTGTAGATGACAGGACATATGAATAGAATGATGCCATATACGTGTATGTATGTAGTTGGATGAGAGGATCCGATGCAACCAAATGAGGACCCGACGCACTAATGATCTGCTTCATGCTCAAAGCTTCACTTTTATGTTAAAAATTGAATTTGATCATATATATAAAATATCAATTCATTTTTATGTTTTCCAAAGTATTCTTATTAATTATATATATATCAGGAGAGTTTTTATCAAATAATAGTTTCAATGCAAATGATTTAAGAAATAATTTAGAAAAACCAATAACTTAACTATTTTTTTTTATTTTTTTAAAATTAGTTAAGTAGATCTTATACATCAAGAGTAGAAGGTAATATATATATTGAAGTACGTATAAGATGCATGATCTAGATCCATTCACATTCAAAGCTCTGTTTTCTTTTTCTTTGTGAAAAGAAATTTTAGGTGAGCTAAGCCTCATAGGTTTACTATGATTAGGGTATATCTTCAGACTAAAAAAGTATTTGTAAAAATATTTACAAATTGTCTACCAATAAAATTCTCATATCAGTAGTGAGATTCAAATTTATGATCTTGTAAGTTATGAGTTAATTTTTTTTCAAGTTGCTGGTCGTGTAAAGCTCTACTTTAATGCAGGAAAATTTCTGAAGAAAGACAGAATAGTTTCTAAATCTGAAGAATCATGACTTACCACAGTAACAAGCTTCTGAATCCGATATAACGTAATCTTGAAGATGATCCCAGATTCTTTGAAGCAGCAACCACGGCAGCTTTGAGGAAAAACAAAAATGGATTTAGAGAATCAGAGAAAGACGAAGGAGAGTGAGGAAGACGAACAGATGGGAAGGTCATATTTATATAATAATGAAACTAACAGATGCTGTGTAAGTCGGCCGGTTGGTGGGACCCGACTGCCGCATTCATAAATCTGACCAATAGTAAAGCCACATTGTTAATCCCATACCACGAGTCCACGACAATAGAATTATAAATGGGGTTAAGGTTTTTTATTCTTTTTTCCCTTTCCAATCTTAAAAGTATTCAGAAATATGGATATTTAATTTTTTTTAAATATTGTTCAAAAGTATTAAAAAAATAATATTATCATTTCCATTAAAAATATTGACATTCAGTTAATGTTATTTTTTTAGTTAACATTAGCTTTCTCAAATGAAAACAGTAATATTACTTTTTTTAACAATTTTAATGCGATATTAAAAATAAACTTTGAAAAGACAAGAATGACTTTTAATTCTTGAGCCTTACAAATAATGCATGATGCACAATTATTTATTTTGTGCTGACGCTGGTTGGGATAGGTTCTGCAGTGCTCTCTCTCTCTCTCTCTCTCTCTCTATATATATATATATTTATATATGTGTCCATTACTACCAATGCCCTTCTTTCACCCATAGGCCACAGGATCACGTGCTTGACCGGGTTTCCAAATGATAATAATAAGTAATTAGGCAGATCATGAGGATTGCTCAATTATGGCATATTCACTTGAAATGCACGTATATATTCTTCTAATCTTATTTATAAGATAGAGAGGAAAAAACAAGTTTTTTAGCCATATTTATAAGGTAGAGAGAAATTTTTTACATAAATGTATAATTTTATTTTTTATTTTTTATTATATTGACTTTGTTTTTACAAAATATAATATATATTAAATAAAGATAATAAAATTTTAAATTTAAATTAGAATTAATAAAATTTTAAATTTTTTTAGTTCGTATAAACCATATTAGAAGTAAGTTTTAAATCCGATAAAAGGAGCAATCAAAAGGATTATATTGCAATGGCCCTCAATTCATTTATCTGACAAGAAACATCCTAAATTTGCGCTGATTGTCTCAATTAATGCTGTGATGCTCGTTTGTCGCAGGCGCCTTTGTTAGCACAACTAATAATTAATAATTAACTGCCTAGCTGTCTTCCAGTTAATTAAAAAGTGGTAAGAATTATTCCTTCCGGTAATAATATTATTTGCAATGATACGATTATAAACCTCGATCCTTATTTATGAATTTAATATGGCTTTAGGTGCTAAATAGACTGATGTGTATGAAGAATCCATCACCACTACAAATGATCTCCGCCTAATCTAAATGGTTCAAACTGAATTTTATTTTTTATTCTTTTAAAATAATATTTCAATGTATAAGTAATTTAAAAATTATAAAAAAAATTTAAATAAAGACTATCAGAATTAACTTGAACGGAATAGATCTTAGTACAATGATAAGTATAATGATATTTACCATTGTGATGAGGACTTAAATACATGTCTTAACTTTTTGAACTACTCCTATATATTGAGTGAGAATAAAATACAAGTCCTTGATATAAGTTTTTGTCTCTATTGTTTTGTCCAATATGTAATGGGTTGATTCAGAAATGCCCTCCATTTACATTCAAATGTAATATAAAAGAATTTAATAATGATACCTAGTATATGATGATAGGCAAAATGAAAAATTTAATTTTTAAAAACAGTTTTGTAATTGCATCAACAAACTTGTCTTCCTTGCAGATATTACCTAAGGAGGGCCAATGACAAATGAAGGAGGGGCAGGAGGCAAACTAAGAGAGCAAGGCGTAACGAGCTGTGATGTTTTGATTAAATGATTATTGGATTAAAATGCAATCTTAACATTTATGTTATTTCTCATATGCAAATTTACCTCTGATATTTTTAGTAGTGTAATTTTGACTCTGATATTTTTTTTGGGTGCAGTTTTACCCATGAGGAGTAAAATTGCACAACTAAAAAGATTATAGACAATATTGAATCTGAAAAATAAGATCAAGATCAAAATTATACTTTAACCCATGATTATTTATTAAGTAGTGAGTGTCTTAACCTAAATATCAAAAGGATTGTCAACAAATAAAGTTTATGAACTTACATGGATTTTTTTTTAAAGCTCTTTTTATCTTACTCTAAAATGAAGAAAAAATTTAAACTTTATTAACTCTATCTTAAAATCTATTAACTTTTCAACCTTATCCCTATTTAATATATTTTCTAAAAATATAACAATATGCTCAATAATAAATTAGAAATAAAATTGTACATTCATATAATATATTTTCTGAGGTACTCCCCCCATCCATTTTTATAAGAAACATTTGGACAAATCACATATACTAAAAAATTAGTTAAAATTAATTAAAAATGGCAAGTTCTTTTTCCACCAAAAAACTCTTACTTATGGGGGAGAAAGAATAAGAAAATTATTAAAATAAAAAAAATGATGTTTTGAAAAATTAGATAATAATTATATTGAGTAGAAAAATAAGTAATTAATGGTGAAAAAAATGAAACTACCGCAAAATGTTTCTATTAATAAGGATAAGGTAAAGATGATAGCTGTTTCGCATAAAAAGGATGGATGGAGTAACTTATGTCACTATAAAAAGAACTTTCAACAATGATTCTAAAAGGCTCCCATAAAAGTGGACTTTCCGCAATGAAACCTAAAGGTGCAACTAAAAATTTGACTTTTTATTGTGACAATTAAAATCATCACGAAATGTGTAATTTTATGTGGCAACAGATAAAGTCGGGGTGGAATGTTTAACTACTTGTGGCCATAGTTATACTTTAAGCAGAAATTTGGAGCGCCAATAATTAAAATCGGGGCAGAAAGTGTAATTTTCAAAGACGATTTTTTTTTTTGAGTAATAAGAACAATAAGTTAGAGGAGTAAAAGGAAAAGAACCTCTCATTGCAGAGGAGCATGTGGTTTTAAGTGCTTTTCCGATGATGACATCAAATTATTCAATCTGGCCCAGCACCAGCAAATTAAAGAAGCTCTAGAACAGGTTCCCACATGCTGTTGATAATGACCAATCACATACAGCATTAAAATTCATACTACGTGGACGACTATTAACAAATATAGCTCCCCAGCACAGCGGTCTACAACTAAAACTGAAAAGAGATAGATGGATGATGAGTTATGAATAATAATAATGTTCCCCATCTCACCAAAAAAATAATTAATATCACATGAATGATATATATACACCCACGTCAATCTGAAAATGATGATTTGGTTAGGTTTTGGTCTATCAATTAATTGATTGGAGCGTGCACATGCCTATCAATTAATTCATGATTCGGACTTTCTATAAATGATCAGATCCTTTAATTTGGAGTTTAATTTTCCACTTTCTTCAGAGCAGGTCATATATATATACACTCTTCCAGTCCTTAATATACGATCTAATTGTTAAGTTGGTTTTGGTCCTAAATATAAGACCCATTTATCATATTATAAATTTCTTTAAATTACCCCTATGGATACTCCCTCAACCATAATCAAGTAGAAGAAGGAGAGATAGTATTAAGAAAGATGATTATAGTGTTTTAGGAAAAATGTGTCACATTTCTTATAATTAACTAATTTACCTAACTTTCTTAATCTAATCAAATTAATTAAATGGGTCTTACATTAAGGACTGAAGGAGTATATATCACAGCAATTAATAAAAATTCAACGATAACAATTGAAAAGGACAGATGCAAGGGGAAAGAGAGAAAATAATAGAACCTGTAAGAGGCTTTGCGACTCCTCTCGATCAGAAGAAGCCTTGATGGGTGCCGGTAGGTGGTGAGCATAGGGTAGCGACCACAAAGTGTAGTTACTGCAATTTTTATACCAATAAAGGAGTGTACACGTGGCTGCGGGACCCAGAGTAGATGGGTATGGAATGTGAACGAGGCGAGCTCGGCTGGCGTTTTGGTGGCCGCAATAGCATTCCCACGAGAACCTCATGGCAAATGTTTACCTTTCATTTTTTTCCCCTTTAAAATTAGAGGAATAGGTACTAATAATTTGGAATTATAATGGAATTAAACTTGTAATCTCTCATTCATAAGGAAAAAAAATAATTCATGTCATTAAGATATGATACTCTCGACAACAAATGTTTCTCATTGAGTGCCATAGTAGGTTTCTTCTAAAATTCTAATCTAGTTAACTTAGTGCCTACTTGGATTAGTGGTAAACTCGATTATGATTTTAGATAATCATGATTTTTATAAGTAACACTAGTTAGAAGTGCTGTTGGTTAATTATGAAGTTTGGATTAGTTTTTTTTACTAGTGACTATGAGAAATTTAAGTATGTTTTGATTCTAATATATTCTTTTGGTCTTATATATAAAGTAGGGAGAAAAGATTTTTTTTTTAGTCTTATTTATAAGTGACATCATTAAGTATTCAGCATGAATGTGCTATTTTATGCTTTGTATATTATAGTGTATATATTAAATAGGGATAAAATTAAAAAATTGTTATATTTTAATAGAGAGTTACAATTTAAGTTTTTTCTTAGTCCATGTAAAATATGCTGCAAGTGTCTTATAAATAGGACCTGAGAAGTATATAATTTAAAATTTAAAATTTTAGATGATAAAAGGTCAATAGTATTACAAATGAAAGAATATTAAAAAAAAAATCATCACATGATTTACGCACAACTTTTGTCCTGCCAGCTGTATCTGTTGACCAAAACATTTGGTCGAGGGAGCAGTGACTCAGCGTTTCGACCCACAGGTTTTGATGGAGTAGAGGACAAAACAAGATTTGGAAGTGGGTTCGGATTCCCTCAATTAAGAAATTGTGACAAAGAAAATACTAGAAATGGGCCCCAAATAATTGGTTTTCAAATTTTTAACCGTAGTACTCGCCATTTTCCAGAGAAGAATCCAATCCAGCCCAGATCCAAAACATCTTGATGGAGGGTGACAACAAAGTTCAGTTTTTTTTTAATAAATCAAAATATCA